TGTTTCTATATACTGTATGGGATTGTCAATGGCGGCCGTCAAGGCAGGATTCGAGGAATCTTTGTTTCAAACCTTAAATGGTATCAATTTGTAGAACGTTTCCGTCAGTGTAGAACAGAAAGAGGTGATAAGGAACATCCTTGTTTTAAAGAAAGACACTAATTTTTTACCTACTTTGGCAAGCATAGCCTTTACCACTTTGGGTCTTCCAGCCAGTAAGCAACTGGCTGGGGAGCAGATACTCCAGGGAACAGAACTGTTGTGTGTCCGTGAAATATGACATGGACATTCATCGAACAATCCTTTCAAAGTTGTAAGAACTGAGAGCACTACAGGGTCACGCATAACAGTCACACATTCAGCACTACAAATCAGACAGGTACATGGTGCTAACAAATCAGTCTGTCATCAACCACATACTTTTAAAAAAGGAAAGCTAGAATGACATCATACAACACAACACAACAACGTATTGCAGATAGCATAAAACCAAAAGAAGACAATACAAGATAATGACATGACACAGCAGAATAAAGCAAAAAAAAAAAATGACATGACTTAACTATTTGAATTCATTGCATAACGCCTTAAAAGAATGACATGACATGACACACAACAATACAGGTCAGTGGCTGGCATGACAGCATACAACTATGATGATACCAAAATACACCTGTTGTCAAATGACATGAAAATATATTTACATTTATTTATTTTTTTTTACTTATTCCATCTGCACCAATTATCATCAAAGAGCTACGTGAGCTACTGAGCAATTACTCTTCTGTAGCTTACTGTCCTCCTTCATGAAACATGCAAAAGCTACATCCCATGTTGGTTTATCCTTAACACATGGCATGTTATGTAGAAGATGATATTCAGACACAAGAACATATGAGAACTCATGGAGAGCAAGGTCATTTAACTGAGTTCATATGTTCATTAACTTTTCACTCTCAGGATGACTTCAACAGTGCTGATTCTAGCAGTATGCAGGACGCCTGTCACCTACATATGTTTGTTCACTTATTACACTCACGATGACTTGCACAGTGCTGATCCTAGCAGTCTGCTGGATGCCTGTCACATACATGTATGAACTCAGTTAAATGACCTTGGTCTCCATGAGTTCCCGTAGCTTAGTGGATAGTGCGCCCGCCCGGTGTTCGGGAGGTCAAGG